TTCTTTAGTTCTGGTTTTTATTGTTCTCAGTTGTTTATGTGTGTTTCGAAGACCACCAATACAGTTTCCAAGGGTATTTTGAGTTTCAAAGTAAGAACTTTGACAAACAACTTTGCTTTTGTAGATTTTCGCACTAAAGCCATACACTAACTTGCTTGTTCAGTATTGCTAGGTGCAGTGTAAAACTAAATTGCTTTTAGAAAAGATTTGTATTATTAACGTGTCTGTGCATATCTGTTATTCGTCAAAAGTACTCACAGAGTGTTTGAGGACAGAAGCATATACGTATAAACGGTTTGGTGATCATTAAAATAGCGAAAGTCGCTAAATTAAATATAATATATATATATGACTCTTATTATTAACAATCTAGATGTAACGGCGAAGTCGACCTCGAAGAAAAATGTTGATGAAGCTTCAGAATATACGCAAAAAGAATTTCATAATCAACTAACCAAACAAATAATGGGTGATAGTGTATTGGTTACTATCATCTCTGAATACATTACTCAAAATGGCAATGTTGAAGAAGAGAATAATAATGAAATAAATTTGGATGAATCTGTTATTTATCGATACGTAAATGATTCAGTACAGCGATTCTGTATAAGTATGGAGAATAATTTCAGCGATAATATGATTCAATCTCAAAAAGCGGTCGAATTTATTTCGACTTTACTAATGCATAAAGACAACGATGATCTACCATCATTTGATGACTGTGAAAATAAATATGCATGGCTTCTTGCTTATGCATATACGTCACTTGAGTACAGTCGGCGTGATTTACTATCACTTTACTCAGCTTGTCGAATTCTCGATAGCATTAATCAGAGTGAAACGCCGTATTGGAATTTACTTAGCAGAAATGAATTATCTCCGTCAAAAGTACGTGGAGAATTATGTAAATTAATGTTTGGCCAATTATGGGAACATCTTTGTAAACTATCTTCTAGCAATGATGAAAGTTTAACCAAACAGTGGGTCTACCATTATACTTTCGTGTCTAAATATTGTCCGTCGGATGAACTTTTAAATTCAACAAATATTCGAAACAAAATCGATTTCATGAATTTCGCGTATGAAATTCTGCTGAACAAAAGTATATCCGAACCATCGCAACTTATAAGTAACTTAATGAGTTTTCTGCATGATGGCAATGCTGTCATTTCCAACCAAACGATACAAACTTATCTCAAAGAACTACCAAGAATCGTAAGCACTGTTAATGAATATGCTTCACAGAAAAATTTAGATAGTTCCACATTACTGCTTGATATACATTTCTACATGGTTTCAATGCTTAAAAAACAGAAAAAACCTTCTCAAATCGATAGAAATGAATTGTTAAAATATCTGAACCAAACACATTGTTCATTGTCCTTTGCAGCGAAACAATCACTTTTTAATGAATTGGCAGACTTGTCTTTTATCAAAAAAACTCCTGAAAGTAGCGAAAACAATTTCAATGATCGTCTAGTACAGCTGTTATCAATTGTACTCTATTGCGTCCCTGCAGAAAGTATTGAACAGTACGAATTACCCTACCAGTCATATGATATTGAAAACAATCACACAGAAAGAAATCCAATATTACTCGATTTATTGTTCTTCTATCTAAGACGCTATGCTGATGCGGAAACAGTTAAATGGAGTCTTATCAATGGACTCAGGTTTTTTTCAGTATCAAATCTCAGAGAACAGTCAACATCGAAGTCCGTTCGTGATCTATTCGAAAAATTCAAAGTTTATTTCCTAGTGCACTTCGTTGGCGTGTTTTTGTGTTCGGATATCAATGAAGATCAAAAAGAATCATTTGAAGAATATATGAAAGAACTCATTGAGAAATATTTTACGATCAGCAAAGATTCTAATAAATTCAACTGTCATTTACAATATTTTCTTTCGACTATCATATCGAAAAAATCATGGGAATTTCTTCTCAATCGTCTTCAGTCGAATGAATTGCAAGCAGCAAATGGTCAGTGGGCGAAAGACTTACATGACATGCTCAAGTTGGTCAAAACGGCAAAAGAAGACCAATATCTGGAATCACATCATCGTATTCAATTTACATTATCATCAGATGCTTATGATTCAAGTGTGTTTCCAGCTCTTCACCAACATTATAGTGAACTCAGTGAAAAAATTGACGACTGTGTCAAACAGAAAACAAAAGAAAAATATAATACCTTATCGCATTGGATTAAGGAGTGCTTAAATTCAAATTCTAAGAAATGTTCAGTAAATGAAATAAAGGCAATGCTCATATTGAAGATTTACTATGATTATTATTGCCACAATGAGCTACAATCAATTAGTTTTTTGCTAGAAATAATTCAACAAACTTTGCAACCATTACCTGAAGAACTCGTCGTATTTCGTGCTTTACTTCAACCCGAACAGCATATTATTGGTTATCGAAAGCAGAATGAACATGACACTGAAAATCATTTGATTAAATTATTTCGGCTTGACTTTAGAG